AAAAAGAGCACAGAACAAAACACACAACATATGAAGAATGGAGGAGGAGGAATAAGAAGGGAGAGAAAAAAAGAATCATCAGACTGTGTTTATAATAGCTCAATAAGTGAGTTAAGTTAGACAGTAAGGTACTAAAGAAGCTAACCTTAAACCTTTGTTAACCACGAATCTAAAGCCTGCAGTGGCAATAAGTACATATCTTTCAATAATCACCCTAAATGTAAATGGTCTGAATGCACCAATCAAAAGACACAGACTAACAGAATGGATAAAAGAGCAAGACCCATCTCTATGCTGCTTACAAGAGACTCACCTCAGACCCAAAGACATGCACAGATTAAAAGCCAAGGGATGGAAAAAGATATTTCATGCAAACAACAGGGAGAAAAAAGCAGGTGTTGCAATACTAGTAGCAGACAAAATAGACTTCAAAACAAAGAAAGTAACAAGAGATACATTACATAATGAGAAAGGGCTCAGTCCAACAAGAGGATATAACTGTTATAAACATATATGCACCCAACACAGGAGCACCAGCATATGGGAAACAAATACTAACAGAATTGGAATCAACCTGAATGTCCATCCATTGAACACTGGTTAATCACGGTATTAAATAGTCATCAGCTAGCAGGAAGGAATGGCAAGTTCTACAGTCTGATACAAAAAGAATATCTATATACATATGTACTACGCTGTATAGAAAGAGAGCCTTATAGAAGAGAACTCACCTAACAGTAAAAAGCCAAACCAAAGCCCATCATCAAGTCTGTTCTGTGTCTGCAGAGAAAATCGCAGGACACAAAGCACTGGGAAACTCGCTTGCCTGTGTACTTTTTTTCTTTACAGATGTCTGTCTGGTTTGCATTTTTTAAAGTGCTATTACTTTTGTTTAAAAAAATCAAACAATCTTGAAAAGGCAGTAAGCTCAGCTCCAGTGGGACAAGCAGATACCCCAGAAGCAGCCAGCACAGCTAGTGCCAGGGACGAGGGCCCCTCAGGACAGATCCAGGGTGGGGCTTATTACGGGTACAAGACGAGCCTGGGGCATCTCGCTGCATCGGAAGTAATGGAAGTGCTTCATAAAAAAGGTCGGGGCACAGTGGGCAACATGGCGGGGCTCCCCCTGGATCTCAAATCTGGAACTATTTGAGAACCTAAAACAAACAACAGAAAGATAATAATAAATTATAGACCATTGGGAAGAAAATGGGACTCCTTCATTCCACAATGAATATAGATATATAAAAACAAATAACTGGATGGGAGAGGGGGACTAGTAAATAAGGAAAGAGTGCAGGATTGGAAAGCGTTTTACAATCATCACAGCAAAGTGGAATCTAAGACAATAATTGTGGCCTGACTGAATCAAGCCAGAATCAGCAATATTTGCTAAACCTAGGGAGAAGCTTGGTAAGGAGCGGGAAATCACATGGTCTTACAGTATGTCCCCAGAGACTGCTTGAGTAGGAAGGGAAAAAATAGGGAGAAAGTGGAAAACAGGGTGCCAGATATTAATTTATGGCCTCTTAGCTCCAAACTCACCTTTCCCTTGTCTTCCTCGCAATGCTGAGCTGGAACTCCGCAGACTGTACCCTTGTCAGCTGGCAAGGCTGGAGGAGAGCGTTGCTGTGCAGTCCCGGCCTGAGTCCTACTCCGCACAGCAGCAGTTCTCTGCTCCTGGGGCGGCACCTCCGGTGAATCGATTCTGCAGCCCAGGGCAGGCAGCACGTTCCCGCCCCAGGCCTGACTCTCAGACCTGCAGAGCCCTCCTCGGAGTTCCTAGGTTCTGTCCTGGTCATCTCTGCCCTTGATCCTCGGGGTGGTGGCTGTTTTCTAGGGTGCCTTATGGCTCTTCTTTATAACTTACATAACAGCAATGAGCAAAACCAAAACTTTTTAGTAGTTAAATTTTCATTTACATTTTCCCCTCACAGGACCCTGAATGATGCACCAGGTGATCATAATTAACATCACCACGAGGGGTAAATGACATTGGATGTTCCCAAGGTGATGTTCCAAGAGGATACATGACATGAGTAGTGCTCCAGTCACCTGGAACTGGAATGCAAAAACCTAACCTAATCAAGAGGAAATAGTAGATAAACCCAAACTGAGCACCACTTAAAAGAAGGGACTACTTTCTTCCAAAATGTCAATGTCACAAGTGACAAAACTATGGAAACACTCTGGGTTAAAGGAAACCAAAGAGACATGACAACTCACCAGAATACCTGATCAAAGACTAGATCCAGAATTGGAGGGAAAAAATGGTAGAAAGGACATTATAGGTCAACTGGAAGATGAACAGGAGACTACTACTGTATCAGTGTTAATTAAATGTACTAAATTTGAGAACCGTATTATGGTTGTCAAGAGACTACCTTCATGCTTAGGAGACATCCACTGAAGTGTCAGAGACAAAGGGCCATCAGATAGAAACAGCACATCAAGAACAAAGAACAAATCAAATGAGGCAAAATGTTAATAGGGGGATTTAATAAAAGACATTTAGGCCTTGTATGTACAATTCTTATTCTTGCAACTTTCTGTAACTTTGAAATTATTTCCAAATAAATTTAGGGCAACAGGACATAGCAGTGGCTGTCAGCCGTCACTGCACAAGTACCCCAGGCTACTTCAGAGGTGTTGGGACCCAGGCATCTGTGCTTCTCAGTTCTCCAGGTGATTCCAATGTGCAGACAAGGTGGGAAAACGGCACCGTGAGAGCTCATTCATCAATCCAGATATAAAAAGTGGCTCTTTTGCCCTCAGCAGAGTAAGCACCAGATAACAAGGACTCAGGGTAACGCGACCCATTTAGAGGGAAGGAAGCTGCTTTCACCAGCCGAGCAGAAAGGAACGAGAGAAGGAAAGGTGTGTGGAAGGAAGCCTCTTGAGCAAGTTCAAGGAGTGGTCTAAAAACTGGCACATTTTCCCAAAGCAGTTTCCTACTCTATAAGCTCAGTTCTGTAATGCAGAAGTCGCTGAGGACAACCAACATCACAGTCCGGACACTGCTCACCGCTGCCCCAGCCTGTGACAGGGTAGATGGCACGTATGGTACATGTGGGAAACTGGAAAGGGAGAGGGGAGACAGGGCTGGGAGGAGGAGGTGGTAGTGACAGGTCACAAGGACAAGAAAACATTGTCGCCCACAGTGCGACAGGGACAAGAGGTGCGATGGGTCCGGGAACTTATCGAATCTGTAGTTCTCTGAAATCATGAATGTTTTAGTTAACTTCCACTTTGTGAAAAGGAGTTGGTTTTTACTCCTCTTTTTTCTCACAACTTCTCCATTTTCATGCCGACAGACTTGAATGATATTTAGGCATCTCAAAATTGAGAGATCCAAAATTCAATGTGAACTCATGCTCCGAGATGTGGGTCTTACTTGCTTCCGGTCTTGTGACTAATTCTGTTAAAACAGTTGACTGAGCCCGAAGCCCGGGATTCATCCTAGACTCCTTCCTCCTGTCCTTTATGTAGTGGGTGATCAAATTCTGCCACTCCCCCACCCCACACTTCCAGTCCCCCACCCCTCCCCACCTCCAGTGCCCCACACTGCGCTCTCTAGCCGTTGGTAAGATATACTGGACGGAAAAAAACCTGTGGCTTTTTGAATATCAAGGCCTTTAGAACTCGGCAAGTTATAATTAAAACGCACACAGGCTCTCTGCTCCTGCCAGTCTGATGGCCTCATCTTCTTGCACAGCACCAGCTAGCATCCTGAGACGCGGTGGTAAAGGTCAGAGGTAAATGCATTTGGCTGTATCGGGCACCTGGACACCGGGACTGCTTTTAAGTCTGGCAAACTGGATATCGACACCATCACTGACCTCACCTACATGGTCTGCATGTTTCAGTACGATTCCACCCATGGCAAGTTCAATAGCACAGTCAAGACTGAGAATGGGAAGTTTGGCATCAAAGGAAAGCCCACCTCGATCTTCCAGGAGTGAGACCCCAACATTAAATGGGGTGACGCTGGTGCCGAGTATGTGGTGGAGTCCACTGGTATCTTCACTACCATGGAGAATGCTGGGCGCACTTGAAGGGAGGAGCCAAGAGGGTCATCATCTCTGCCCCTTCCGTTAATGTCCCTATGTTAGTGATGGGTAAGAACCTTAAAAAGTACAACTCCCTCAAGATGTTAGCAATGCCTCCTGAACCACCTGCTCGGCTCCCCCGGCCAAGGTCATCAATGACAGCTTTGGCATCATGGAGGGACTCGTGGAAACAGTTCATGCCATCACTGCCACCCAGAAGATTACAGATGGCCCATCTGGGAAGTTGTGGTGTGATGGCCAAGGGGCTGCCCAGACCATCATCCCTACCTCCACTGGTACTGCCAAGGCCATGGTAAGTTCATTCTAGAGCGGAATGGGAAGCTCACTGGCATAGCCTTTTGTGTCCCTACTACCGCCTGGAAAAAGATGCCAAACACGATGACATCAAGGAGGTGAAGCAGGCATCGGAAGGCTCTCTCAAAGGCTTCCTGGGGTACACTGAGGACCACATCATCCCCTCTGACTTTAACAGTGACACCACCTCTCCCACCTTCAATGCTGAAGCTGGCATTTCCCTCAACAACCATTCTGTCAAGCTCATTTCCTGGTACGACGATGACTTTGGCTACAGCAATAGGGTGGTGGACCTCATGGTCCACATGGCCTCCAAGGAGTCAAAGCCCCCTGGACCACCAGACCCAGCAAAAATGCCAGAAGGGAGAGGCTCTCAGCTTCTGAGAAGTCCCTGCCCCAACTCATCCCCCCACACACTGAGAAATCTCCTGACTTCCACAGTGCCCACTGCAGACCCCTTGAAGATGGAGAGTTACTTAGGAAGCCTATGTTTGTCAGGTACCATCGATAAAAGTACACTGTACCCAGCAAAAAAAGCCACATGTAAATCACGATAAACTGTAGACAGTACCAACATTAAAATATTACACTGCTGCTCTGGAATTGAAGTGTCCCAAAATAATTAAAAACTACATGTTGAGGAGTGATACAGAGTTTATTGTATTAGATTTTTTCTATTTACAACTGAGATCACATCTACATACTATTTTGCTAGGTTACATGGATACATTAATCCTAATGAGTTTAGACTTAAACGATGAATGGGCTTCATCATACACCACACACACACTCACACTGTTTTCAAACAGCAGTGCATACATTACACTCCTCCTATAAAGCCAGCTTTGATTAGAAACTGCTATTCAAAGCTCAGTCTGATTTTGAAGATGAGCCAAGACACACACTGTATGATTCTAAATCTATTTTAGCCATTCTGTACAGTTGCTATCTTATTGGACTACAGTATATATTTTTTAAAAGGACACTCAAAAGGGGCACCATCTGGTGTTAACCTTTAAGCAGACAGCTGTCCCCTCCACCCAAACACCTTTGGCCAAGAGTTTGCCATTGTGAAGACTGAAAGGACCCGGCCACTCAGCAGCAGTCCTGTTACTGCTTGGAGGGAACAGAAGCAGGCCCCTGTCCTCCTTTAATTCTACCACACTTTGCAACTATGGTTCCAAAATTAGAACATTTACAGCCATACTTGAAAACTCAGGGACGTGGAGAGTCAGCTAGAACAGGGGGGAAAAAGTCAGAGGTGGGCATGTAAGAGCCACGCTGCTCTGCCCCGCACCTGTGTGCGCGTGTGTGCTTTAGCTAGACGGCCTCTGCGGGCCAACTGCAGCAGACCTGCTCACTTCACCTTCCAAGTCAGAACAAGACCATAAAAAAGCTCAGGCTTGAATGTGCTGCTACGCGTAGGTGCCGCCAGTGACGAGGAGCTCATACGCCGGATCTCTGCTCCTCCTGCACAGCACGACGCACGCGCACAGCATGCCCAGCAGCTGGAGGAAGGAAACAATGGAAAAACGCTGAGAACTCTCTTACAGCATTGTTGGCAATGGAGCTGTTTCAAAGTCCAGTGACCTCAAGTTAAAAAAGCAGTAATGACAGTAACAAAAGCAATTTCTAATGAATACAGTTATCTTTTTCAGAACTGTAATACCCAGTTTTAGCTTCCCTGCCGCACACCTAAGAATACCCGGTGAAGCCAAGAGAGAACGAAACTCTCCCACTGCCCCTCCCACTCTGTCTAGAGCAGCTGCTCTCCAGAACTTTCTGGAGTGATGGAAACAGTTTTTATCTGAGCTGTCAATAGTCACATGTGCCTAATGAGCACTTGAAATGTAACTAGTGCAACTAAGGACTTGTATTTTTAATTTTATTTAATTTAATTATTTAATTGAATTTAATTAATTGAACTTTAATTATGTAATTAAAGTTCGATTAATTTAAACTTAAGACATAGTGGCTAGTGGCTACCATACTGGACAACAAAGGTCGAAATGACCAAGACTGCGTGTACTGGAGAAATTTAATGGCGGTCCTTTCAGGCGTCTGGATTTGGAAGGGAGAGGCTGTTTAATAGTCCACGGAATTCAGTATATGAATAGCACCAAGGTGGTGGAAGCCAATCCTGCTGCCAAAAAATGTAGTTTGAAGGTTTTTGTTTTTTTCACAAGGTTTGCTATTTTTGAAATCAGGTTTGGCTTTGTGGTAATACATACACATTACTTTTAAAAGGTCATTCTTCCTTCATCATTTTATTATCATAAGCCCTAATTCTTCTTTGTTAGCAAATTGGAATTGTAATAAAGTCATGCTTACTTTGGATAAGAAAGAGGATTAAGATGGATTAAGAGAAAAAAATTCTAGAATTTTGTGACCTGGTTTCTTATAAAATATAAATAGTAACCAAAGACCTAAATAAGAGTAAGTTAAGTTGCTGTTCTACATTTTTATTGATGGTAAAAAGGTCTCAGGCATTTGACTTTAAAAGGCAGGGAGAGCCCTCTGCATATATGGGGTCAATCTAAATTTCAACAATATGTACTTGATCCAGAAACAGATCTCAGTTTAAAGTGGAAGATTACTAATGAGACACCGTGCAGAGAAAAAGGATGTCAATCTGCATTCTCAGTTGTGTAAAAGCCACACACTCCATTTCTGCCCCCAATTAGCCTATATTCAGCCCATTCAGGACATATACTTGATGCTTGAAACCTTTAGTTCCATTATATCAGTATTTGCTGAGTGCTTACTAGGGTAAAGCACCTTGAAGACGTTTTAAAAGTAAATACTGTTGAAAGTTTACTAAATGTATTAAGCCAATTCTAGATGTGTTTAGTGTCTAACTGCTGAAGAACTACATTTCTGTTCACTATACAGCAGAACATTCTTAGAACAGCCATAAAATCGAATACAAATTGTGTTTCCAGGTAATGTTAAACTGAACAATAAAAATGTTAAGCTTGGAAATTACTGATTTGCTGGGGGAGTAAAAAAAATCTCTCCTCTCCTCCCAAAGCCCTCACATTCCTTTCAGTCGGTTAACTTCTTCTGAAGAAGTTAGCATTCTCAAAGTGGGGCCTGAAGTAAGTATCATTTCTTTCCTGACCTTTATTTCAATTAAGTCAACTTGCACTGATTTAAAAGCAATGAAATAAACTTGATAACATCCTATTCATACTTGGGAATGAGTCCGTTTAAAAGATCATTAAGCTCTACACAATAACTTATGTCCAAACCTTATCACTAAGTATTACAAGACCGTTTTCAAAGCTTTGCTATACCGAAATTCCACTGACTGTTGAAATTTTCCAACAATAAACTTGGAAACATTACACAAATATTTTAGCTCCAGTGTTATTTCTTGCAGTATTTTCCCACAATATTCAAATCATGAGAACTAATCAGCACTTAGCTCAACTATAATACCCAGGAAAAAATGATTATTAAATACATAGGCAAGTGGTGATTAAAAAACTGACTGCCAAGGATTAAAATGTTTTATAATATACTATGTAGGTGGCATTACAGGAAACAGGTATTGGTACACAAGATTACTGGAAATGCACACCAGAAATACCCTTTTCTAAGAAAAATTCAGAAATATCAAAGAGTCATTCACATATTCTGACTCCTCAATTTAATGGCTACAAATTTTTGCTATAGATTGCACATACACAGAGAGGATATTCACTACTTGCATTTCTGTATTAGCAAGACTTATGTTAAGTGCTCATTAATGCAGGTTCGATCAATTAAAAAGCATGCCCTCAAAATGGAATACAATGTAGCCACAGTAAGATTGTTTTTAAGAAGCAAGGTACTAAAGGTTACACACTGTGATTCTATTTATATAATTCTTTGAAATGACAAAATTTTAGAAATGGGAGTACAGATTAGTGGTTGCCAGGGGATGGGGGGAGGAGGCACAGGAGGGAAACGGGTACAGTTAGTCATAAAGGGGTACCAGGTGGCATCCTTGTGGTGTTGGACCTGTTCAGTTCTTGGTTGTGCTGGTAGATACAGGAACCTATCAAGCTGTAAAACTGTATTTATGTGCATGGGGAAAGAGACTTTTCTCATATTTCATTATTTTTACCTAAATGAATGTGTTTGTACAGACAATCAAAATATGACATACATCCCTGCTGACCAACAGATTACTGCTATACTGAGCCACAGAGTAAATGCTTAGAAGGGCAGAGACCATACAAATAAAGAGCTAGGCTTTTAATGAGTAATTTCAGGACCATGAATACAAGCAAAGCAAACAGTCACTCTTCTGCCATTTTAGAAGGCACTTTCCATTAAATACACTAGCTTCTATTCAAATATATAGAGCAGACAATCCAAGCAACTTATATTTAAACTAGCAATTATATTGGTTTTATCTAACAATTGAGATACCTACAACTTAAAATAGATTTTCAAGGCCTGTAGTACATTTCAAGAACAATTAAGAGAACAGTCTGGGAACTAGATCTGAGATCTGATGCAAAGGACTTTCAATCATTTTCAAACGGTTAGTTATTCTCAGTTGTAAGTCTCCTGTAATACATGACTCACAGAATCCCTAAGATATACTGTGTATTTCTGAGAAACAAGGAATATAGGTAATTTGTACTGGGTAGAAACTAGGAACATAGGTAGTTTGTACTAGACAGAAAAATTACTTTATTTGTTTTCAGGTAGGGATAAGGGATAGAAATGTATGTGTGTGGTATGGAGGGTGCTGGGACAAGAGATAATTAACCAATTAGCAGCTATTTTGCACAGGCTGTTATTGACAGGGGAGGGGGAGACTGTTTTCACTGATAGGAGTTGGGAAAACAAGTTCCCTCAGCTACCAACAATGGCATGGTATTCTTCCAGATGTGCCAAGTGATGTCATGTACCCCTTGATGGCTGTCAGTCCAAAAAACTAAGTCCACAAACACAAAAGAGGTTAGAACCTCAGCTTTTACTTGAAGGTTTTCTCTGTAAAGCAATGAAAATGCTCCTGTTAGTATAAAAGACTAGAGCAGTACCAATTCTTGATTCATGTATATGAACATATAAAACACTTGATGGGAAAAAAAACAACAACTGGAAAGATAAACAGTACCAAAGGAGACTGAAATGAAATTTTCTATTTCCAAACAGAAATCAAGCAGTACAATTTTTTAAACTTCTGTGAAGTTCTACTAAAATACCTCTCAAGAATACACTATGACAACAGCTTGCATTTGAACAGGTCAGTCACTAATCAAGTCAAGAAAATAAGGCAGAGAGTTGCCTCACATGTGACGTGTCCCCCTCCTCCAGGTCTCTGGTTTCTTGGGACCGTTCTGGGTTTAGGTCTAGAGACCAGAAATGGATGTTGGAAACTGGTGGCTGGTACTTCAATCACCTCCAAGTTCTCTATATACACAAAGATTAACCTCACTTGTGATTCAAACTACTTAGGGCTGACATCTGAGAATCAGCAAACTGGCAACAATTCCTTGGCTAGCTGGGCCCACCTGAATAGCCGCAAATGCCAGTGCTGCCCAGATGACATGCATCATGATTTCTTGGAGCTTCTTCACAACGAGAGCCTCACACCCCTGAAACATACAAGGTAACACTCATTAGAAGTCTTTTTTTTAAAAGTGAAATGCGCAAGGTCACATATTGCTTCTCATTGGCAGAAATGGAAATAACAGAAACCAAGAGGGAAAAAGACAACAATATATTTAAACATTTACATTAATAAAGTAAACATTAATTTACAGTAAAATAAAATAGCATTGAAGATAAGCAAAAGAAGGTAGAAAAGAAGTTCTAGGTAGAGATAATTCACAGAGAAAAACAGGTTACCAGGCTTGACTGAAGTTGTGGCCAAGAAACCGAGCTCACCTCAGCATAGAGGTCGGAGGGCTGGGCCAGGCTGCCGTTACAGCTGCGGGCAGTCTCCCTGCAGCAGCTCAGAGGGACGCTATGGTTTTTGGTTTCTTTGAACCAGTCGGTATTTTCCCAGTCTGAATAGTTGTGAATTCCACAACAGTGCAGCTAGTGGAGAAGAGAATATAGATATTACTCTGCACAAAACACATACACCTTTGTTGAATTTTTAGGGTTCTACGTACTACAGAACTTATAGTATTCTAGACTGGTGATATCCAATAGAACTTTCTGCAATGGTAGAAATGCTCTATGTCTGCATGTCCAATATGGTAGCCACAGCCACATGAGGTTTCTGAGCACGTACAATGTGGCTAGTGTGACTAAGGAATTGAATTTTTAATTTTAATTTAATTAGCCACGTAAAGACTAGTGGCTCTAGAATGTCCATAGGGAAGCACATTGCCCACAAGGGATAGTTTATTGCTATGAAAAATCTTCATATTTTACATAATAAATATCTGGTTCTGAGTTAATACTTCCAATGACAAAGTATTCAAAGTAGTTTGTCTGAAATGTCTAGGATTTGCTATAAGATAATCTAGCAAGATATGTAGGGGTAATAGATGAAAATCGATTGAAAAAAGTTGACAACTTTTGAGGTGGCTTTATGGGTACCAAGATTTTACTATACTCTTCTTTCATGTATGTTTCATATTGTCCACAGTAACTTTTTTTATTTACTATTTTGTCTGTTAGGTTTTCTGGTCTTATTTTCTAAAGGTATATGAAAACCTCTCACCTCCTCGAATGCCCATCTGGACCCCCACCTTTCCAATGACACATGCCTCTCCTCCATTATCACCTCTCTAGTTAATTATTTTTTTGGGGAAAAAGTTAGCTGCTTCTTATCTGGCTTTGACTAGGTAATGGTAGAAAAGACTTTTCAAGGGTGAAGGTAAAAATATTGGACACATCATGAAATTAACCATTGCTATGAAAGTATGTGGCTAACTTACACAGTCATAATAAAGTTTGACATTGACCCAACAGTGATTGACACTCAAATGCAAATTTCTCTCCAGAGAGCTCACCTGTCTCTGTACATAATCAATAGCCCTGCTAGCAGCATCAGGGTTGGTTCCATTGTAGGTCTTATACACTTTCTGAATCCTGCGATCGACCTCATTTTCCACCTGAATCAAAAAAAGAATGCAGTCCCTCAAAAACACTGGTAAAATTAACATTAGCCAAGGATTCAGCTAAAATACCTAACTGGCACTTATGCAAAGTTGCCAGATAGCTCTGCGAATTTCTTGTAAGAAAAGAAGTTTTCTCCCTTCCTGCCTCCATATAAAATTCAGACACTGTATTGCACTAATTAAAAGCATTCAAAAGAGAGGATTGTGTGCAAAATGGCAGGTTCAAGAGAAAGAAAGGAGTTGAGCCTTGAAACAGACATCCTCAACAGACTGCCTTGCTTTTCAAATAACTTTTCAGTGGGTTTAATCTATTTATTTTCCTTTCCTCAAAGGTAAAAATAAAACAACATAAAGACCCAAGATATTTTTGGGGCAAATACCAACATAAGTTTTGTTTTATTTATTCAATGTTCAGACTTGGCCAAATACACAAAAGTAATCAGCAAGTAAAAAAAGAAAAAATCAGTCCTCAGCAGTGGCATTATATGGAAAAACTGCAGTTCCATGTGTGTAAATGAAGAGGCAGGAAATACACTCCTCATAACCTGCTGCTGCCCATCACTAAAATGCAGGAAAGCCCCCTGTAATAATGTCTGTTTGTGCCAGGTTCTATCCGCCCTTCTAATACGATTAGACCAGTGTAGTGATTCTATCAATGATGTGATGAGACTATGAACTGATTACCAGATCATAGGTGCAATCCTTTGCATTCTTTTTCTGGCACAGCTGCCTGGTACCTTATGATTCAATGATTTGAATATTAAGTTGGAGTATCATGCCTTTGACTTAAAACTCTACATTACAACGAGAATAATTCCAATTATAATGGCTCTAAAGTTATACTCAAATGAATTAACTCAAAGCAGCCTGTTTAGCATTAATGGCACTACAGGTAGGAAGCAAAAGCACACAAAACAGAAAGGAAATAAAGGTGAAAAGAAGAAGAAATGACCAGGGAAGGGAGTGGCTGGCAACAGGTGCCTTGGTGTCTGAGTTGGTAGGGCCCCTTATTCCTCAGAATGGGCATGGAAGATAAGATCACAACCTACAATCAACTTTTTCTATGTCCAGGACCAATGCATTTTTTAGAAAGGCAATGGAAAATGAAATCCTGAATTTAGTTCTTCTAAAGCAGAAATAAAAAAGCTTGTATTTATCCCTCCCATAAGGAATCTTTGGGCTGAGGAAATCTGAACAAACATTTCAGCTGACCAACTATTAACTTGCAACTCATTCTAAAGTAATTTGAAGAATATTAAATATGTACAAAGTAGAAAAGTAGTAGAACACTTTGCCATATTAAATGAGACCATAAGTCCTGATATGCAATTTCTTTTCTTCATTCAATCAATCCACCAATTCATAACAATTATTTTTCCAGACACCTTTATACTGCTAGACATTCAAAGATGACTGCTTTCACCTCAAGGAATTCAAGGCTGGTGGAATAGACCTTTAGAAGATTCACTATAATAGAGTGCACCAAGGGGAATAAGGAATTTGCCAAATTCCTGTGAGAACTTTATCTTGTCCAGAAAGTACACTTGCTTGCTTGCTAAATTTAATAGTTCTATTATCCTGCCTCAAATGAGGAAAGAGAATTATGGTATGATGTTACAACACCCTCTAATTTAAGCTTCAGAAGGGATTTTACAAGGGCTATAACATCTCCACATTTGGTACAGTCACTAGGGTGTGCCTATAATGTTAAGGGCTTGTCGGCAATTCTGAATGAACGAACTAACCACATGAAATAGTCTGGGGTTGGATTAAGGCCTGGATGAATCCAATTTTAAAACAAATTCTTTGTTCAACAAAGAGCTGAAATGCAATGTAAGTGACAGCTGAACATTCATTACCCAGGCATGTCTTAGGAAAGGAACATATGGGACGCTAGAAAAAACACTGGCTGCTCTCTATCCTTTGGGGTCCAGAAACTTATGCCCTATATAACTCATTAATTTATATGCAGTTGAACCTTGAACAACATGAGTTTGAATTCGCAGGTCTACTTAAATGGGGATTTTTTTCAATGAATATATTGGAAAAAGTTTTGGAGATCTGTGACAATATGGAAGAACATTTTTTTTTGTCACTTACTTTAAGAATACAGTTTGTACTAGATGTAACATAAAAAAATGTGTTAATAACCTGTCATACTGTAAGACTTCCAGTGAACTGTAAGTAGTTAAGTTTTGAGGGAGTCAAAAGTTATAGAGGGATTTTCAACTGTGCAGGGCAGAGGCAGGGGAGTGGGGAGACAGTGCCCCTAACCCCTGCATTGTTCAAGGGTCAAGTGTATCTCTATCTATAGCTTTGTCAGATAGAGATGTGAAATCAAAGTAGACAATCTATGATTTTGACAAGGTTCTAAAATCATTCCTAGCAAATACGTATGGACCTAACTTTAACCTAAATTGACATTCACGTACTCTCATCCCAGGAACATCCTGTTGTTGTTGTTGTTTTTTCATTATTATCCTGTATGTTAAAATTAGTGGTAAATGCAGTGTACTGTATTTGACAAGTGGAGAAGCCTCCCATGGTCAGGAGAGGTTGGTTGGTTAATTGAGAAAGTCCATAAATTCACAGACTTAAAAAAAAAACAAACATTTTCATTTAGCTTAAAAGCACAGAAATGTATATTCACACCAATCTTAAAATGTAACCCTATCATCGTTTCTTTGCTAGGATCCACTGGTTAGAGTACTTATCATTTGCTTTGTGCAAATCACATCCTTGATGCATCAACAATGACTTCCAATTTTGGTTTCTTTGAGTTGCAACACACTACAAGTATAGATTTCTACTAGATATTAATAAAATTTCCCTAAGCTTTTACAGTGGTCTTACCCGTATCTGATCAAAAATATGTTTCAGTGACTATGTGTTTTTACCAAGGCTTTTCAAATTACTCAATTTTATTTCCTTTTTTCATGTACTCATCTGTTACAGATTTAGTTAATACTTAATTAGCTACATGACTACACCACCGAGTACTTGGGATTACATCTGCATCATGGCCTGACAGCTCACAGCCAGTCCCATTTTCTCTCATAGGCCTTTCCTCTAAAATAATCCATGTACATTGAATTACATCTTTGCATCCGCTTTTCAGAAGACCTCAACTGACACAGCACGATACATAAAAAAATTTACTGTGGTAGGAAAAAAATCAATTAAGCTTTCAGGGGCACTCCTGAGATAAGAATCCACACTAAACACCACCTTTGATGCCTACATAAGCATCTTCAGTGGTGAGAACTGCTCAGAAAGGAGCCAAAAACACTGCAGATTCTTAAACATAAGAGCTCAGCTCTCTAGTGTGTACTATTAAGCCAGGAAACTGGACTTGTGTGTTTGCTAAATGCATTTCTTTTAACTGAGGTATAACTGACATGTAACATTATATTAGTTTCAGGTGTATAATATAATGATTCGGTATCTATATCTAATACAAAATGATCACCGATAAGTCTAGTTAACTTCCATCACCATACATAGTTACAGCATTTTTTCTGGAGATGAGAACTTTAAAGTTCTACTCCCTTAGCAACTCTCAAAAGTACACTACAGTATGCTATGCTGTACCTTACACCCACCCCCCATGACTTATTTTATAGCTGAAAGTTTGTACCTTATAACCCCTTTAACCCATTTTGCTGACCCTCACCCAACCCCCACTCCCATCTCTGGCAAACACCAACCTGTTCTCTGCATAATTTCTAATTAACTTTAGATTTTTAAACCGAAGTAAGGCAAAAGAAAATGTTTACTCTGATAAAACACATTTGTTTTACTCCACTTGAAAAACTTAAACCACCTTCTAAAACATAGGAGTTACAGTAGACAACATACCTTTGCTCTGTATATGTATCCCAAAACCACTACAACAACTTCTGTGACAAAAACCAAGAGTAGGATGATGACAAACTGTAAGGAAACATTGTCAAAAATTAAACACAAATGAAATAACTCAAAATACTCGAAATACTCCCTTGCCAAAAAAAGCAATTATGAGATAACTGCCACAAGTTTAAGGCAAATGCTAATTCTGTTTCAATTACAACAACCAGCCTATGGAGTTTCATGTTCAATTCAAGCAGGTCACACAAATGAAATAGTCCCACATATTAAGACCACACATGGTCAGAGGTGCACTGACCAACTTACCGTGGCAAGTCCACAGCGGCTTTCCCGGATCGTGGCACAGCAGCCAATGAGCCCAATAATGAAAAGCAGGGCTCCAACAGCTATGATCACTACAGCAGGGATGAGAGTGTACACATCTCCAAAGAAGTGGTCACAGTCATCGTAAGTGATGAAGACATAGGCCCCCACATAGCACAAGATGCCAGCTGCCCCCTGCAGAAAACAAGATCAGCGCACTGGTAAGTAAGGCTCTAAGTCCAACTAGTAAAATGCTGCGACTACTTCTTAGTAGGCTGTAATTTAATGAAATTTCCCACACTTTTGAATCTATTTGTAGACTTTTTTTCCAGTGAAGCTGAAAAGTCTCCTATCATTCATTAGTGAGAACATTTCATTACTGTGATACTCAGTTCCAAAAAACTAACTGTCCTAGTCAAAATTGTGAAATGGCAGAGAGCGAGAGGGCTCAGTTACTGAAGAATTCTGCACACCCTCAGATCTAGCTACTCTTCAGAACGATGCTTCTCAAGCTCTAATGTGAACAGTAATCACCAAAGGACCTTATTAAACTGCAGACTGGTTCAGTAGGTCTGGGGTTAGGGCCTGAGGCTCCACATTTCCCACCAATTTCCAGGTGATGTTGATGCGGCTGGTTCTTGAACTACACTCTGAATCACATGGTTTTATTTACAGCACCTAAGCGGAAAGTGAGCAGAGAAAGTCATAGAACAGATATGACTTATTTCAGCTGCTGCTCAAGACACTATTCTGCAGCTACAGGGTTTTACATACACCCTCCTCTATCACTGTCAATGTTGTTATCATTGTGTACACCAGCTCAATGCTGACAGCCCAATACCACTTGCTTATGTGTGAATGATCAAACACAGTGTGAGGCTAAGTATTAAAATATTTGGTGTAATGAGTTATCATTTGTAGAGCACCTTGAGACTTAGAGGAAAAGAATTATTCTACTGTCCTTTAAAATTTAACATACATAAATCATAAATCTTCAAACTGAAGTCTCCATAATGGTATCAGAATATCATTAACTACTCTCAACCTGAAAACTCAGTTTATTTCTTAAGTCTATGGGACAATAAAGCTTCAGCATCTTCAGTATATTTTCTTACACTAGGCCAATAAAATCGTTGCTCGGGCCTACATGTCCGATACAGATCAGCGGGCAGTGGGAGTACGCCTTTGCTCGTTGTAGATATCCTCAGTAAGGCAGGGCTTATACCAGCCGGGGCTTCACTGGTCACGGCAGCTTATTACCTAAGCTATCGTCTCAGAACTACACATCCTCACCTGAAGTTCCACAGTCACCACACCCTCAACCTACCTCAATCCCTCTCCCCACCCCATCTAACCTTCCTATCACAGCAAAAGGCACCAGACATCTAATTTTGGTTATAACTAAGAGTTACTCTATACTTACCTTGCCCTACTTCTATATTCCACCAATCACCAAACTCCTTCAAGTTTATTTCCAGGACATTATTTCTCGAAGATTAATTCATCCCAGACTGAAACATTCATCTGAAATTGAGACTGAGGTGGCAGAAAAACCAACAGCAATAAGAACCGGACACGTAATGAATGCAATGGAAGGGTCACAGGAGATGCCATTTGTAAAGCTGCCTATTCTTTTCTAAAAGACCTGAGAGCGGTTTTTTCGCCCAGGCTGCAAATCAGTCAACATCCAAACCACACAGCAGAGCTGAGAATGTACTGTGATGACTGACATACAGTGGGAAGCAACTTACCGGTTGCACACACCACAGCGGAAGCTGCACTGATTGCTGAGAGGGGACCATGTGTGTCAAATTACTTGTAAACAGAGTCTGTGCTTCCTAAATTGAAGACAGCTTCAAAATTTTCTTCCCTTAGTGGCATCTGTATATAGTGCTTTTATTTTAAGTTGCATAATTGACAACTTATGAAATGACATTAGTTTCTTTGAAAATATAGATTAGGTGTCCTAACAGTAACTGAAGACCTAAAAACAATAAGCAAATGCTTTAATGACATCCAACCATTGGTATGAGAACCATAGGTGGAGCTGAATGGTAAAGGGATAGGTAAGAATTCCCAACTAGTATGCATAGGGACTTTGCAGTCACAGTGATTTTTAATATAGGAGTTGTGGCTATTAAAAAGACTCTAAGGTGAGTTGCATTAAATCCGTCTTTTGAAGGGCCCTGATGGGACTGGAATCTATCAAAGGATCTGGACTTTGCCAACAAAGCAGCTGCGGGGGTGGGGAGGCGGGGCTTGCAACAGGAGGTGATGAAATGTGGAACTTGGAAGCAGCTGAACTGTTTTAGCCACCACTGAAAAAATCTGAGCCTGTTAAGTAGGATTTGTGCCAGGGCAGTATACTAAAAATATTCATCCTTTTTTTTTTTTTTTTTACAAAGAAGTGAAGAGAAATTTAAAGGAAAGGCTGGGAGCTGAAACTAAGAAAGAATAATTTTTTAAAAACCATTCTTTACCTTTTAGTAAACTCATGCTCTAAACTGTCACAGAAATTTCAAAACTTTAGAACCAGTGGTTTCCCACAACACCAAGCTATTCCTCTAAAAAACAGAAAGCTATCCTGCTATAAAATTCTGTTAGTGTGCGTTCCAGAAGCACACTTAACTTTATGCTTTTAGCCCTCCCACTACATACACCCAAATGTGAAGGCTCTTAAAATTCCATCTTACATTAAGATCGCTTTTTCTACAGTTAAGAAACCAGTTGGGTTTTTTTTATACTTTTCAAATCCTTTGTGAAAGAAACAGCTGATAAAATGCTGAAGTCCACAAAACTACTAAATTCTTTAATTTTCTAAGGAAGAAGGACTAGGAATGAAAAGGGGCACTTCAACTGTAGTGAAATTTGCCACTGGAATGTGGCAATATTAAAAACAAAACAGACTTGTTACAACCAAGGACATAAAATAGCTCTGTTCTGAAAAGTGTTATCTCTCTGGAAATTTAGAAACATGAATGTGGAAGCATCCCACAGAACATCTGGGTGAAGATAAAGCAAAGAAAAGAAGAAGTGATTTTCTCGCAGTGGTATACAGTTGTCGGGGATTCATGTCAAGAACTGGCAAGAATCAGAACAGTAAAAATGAGGGACCATCCTATGTCGTTGGGCTTGAAAGCACAGCATCCGGACGAGTTCCTGCTTGCTTCTGTGCCCTTCGTAGTAATTTTTGCCTCAAAGAATCACTTGGTAAAGGAGAAGCGATTAGAATGTTGAGAGAAAAAATAGTCAAGAAAAACTGGGCAAAAATCTACCATGTACTCTACTTTTTGCATAAGCAAATTTCAAAATGGAAGCAGAGAAGGTAAAAGTGCCAGCAGAAATCTCATCTTACATGCAAATCTTTTAACATTTCATTCAGTTTCCTGGAGAGTCTTATTAGTTTTTTATGTAACTCACTTCTCTCCTACAAGGAATCCACTGGTAATTCTGTACAGTGCATTTCTGAAAGCTTTGCAAAACTCCACCCTTGTGCTATTACAAGTGTCTTAAAATTACCTTAAATCTTTTAGAGTTCCATTTACCATACTATTCTGTAGTCCAAACATGCTTTGTTTCGACTCTTACTCTGACAAAATACTTCATATCATTAAACATAATTACTCTTTTACCAAGTCCAATACCTGCATATTTCATTTACTTTCTTATCAACTTTCAAGAAAAAAAAAAACCCACTATGTCAAAGACTTCAAATCTTCTTTCAGAAATTAAAGTCATATTTACTAAGCATTTTCTAGCTACCAAACCGGTCAATAACAAGGCCAAAGAGTATCCAAAGGCGTGTGAGGGGCAGAGATACAGAATAAGCTTTCTGGAAGGCGATCTGGCAACACGCACCGGCCTCAGCTTTTATGCTTTTGTACCAACTAATTCCACTTCTAGGAATCTACCCTTGAGAAAATATGTCAGATGGAAACAAAACCTTGTATAGAAGGTATGTTCATTAACATGTTGTGATATTATTTGTTAAAAATTGTAATGGCAAAAACAAAAGAAAAGAAAAAACCCTGGCATCCAGAGGTATACTTGCATTATAGCCCTTAAATATTTTGTTAAAGCATAATTTAATAATTTTAATGGTGTGTTAGATAAAAAACACACATATAATACTAGGGGGAGTCTAGTAACCATATGTTGTTCAAGTAATTGTACATTAATGATACCAAAACAAACAAAACACAAAAAAACAGAAACAAAAAAAGAATAATTTTTTTTAGTCTATGTGCGAAATATTGCATGGAAAATACTTAGACTAAAAAATTATACATTGTCTATCTGAAATTCAGGTTTAAGGGGGCATCCTGTATTTTATCTGGCAAAATAATTTCTCTTTTAAAAGGGAGACCTAGGTATAGTAAAGTAAACCTAAAGAGAATAAAGCTGTGGTTAAACACACACGCACACATGCACACACACACACACACACACACACACACACACACACACACACACACACACACACACACACACATCACATACAGACATTTAAAAAACACACCAAAATGTTAATATTGTTTGTCTCAGGGTGCTGGAATTATGGTAATGTGGCTTTTTAAAATACTTTTTCAGTGCCTACTTTAAAAGGCAAGTATATTGTTTGCATAATCAGGAAAGTAAATATTTAAAATTATATCTAAAATTAAGACTTCGTTGTTCTCTCACAAATTAATTCCTATATCTATCCTTACCCATCAACATAAAATAGGCACTTCTTCAATCCCAACAATTTTAGGGACCTCTGCTAATCTCTCCATTAATCACTTTTCTGGGGTCTATCTGGTTTCAACTCACTTTTGTTTCAATTAACACAATTCTGATTTTTGCAGTACACATTATCCTTTTTTTCATAAATATCACCTTTCAAGGAGAAAAGGAAGTTAAAAAAAAAAGAAAAATATCTATTGTAAAGTTTTCACAAGCCACTTCTGCATTACCAACATCACTGTCATCATTATTGCCATTATTCTTAAATAAATATTTTAATCTTTTTACACCCCTTAATATTCTGATGATATTCCAAAGATCATGTTCCTCAATTCTGCCCCATTTTCACTTCTCTGTATTTGTTTTTTTATAGTCATTGTTTATCCAGCTTGACGAAGTTGTTCTATTTAAACCAATTTTTACCTACCAGTTGACTCAAACATTCAGGTGACAATGAAACCGGAGATCAA